TGTAGCATCCAAGCCAGTCTTGAGCTCTCAGCAATCCTCCTGTCTCAACCTCCTGAGTTACTTCTGTTCATATATTAATGTGGCCTTTTTCTTTACTTCAAACTCAAAACAATTCATTTGTTTTAGGAAATGAATGAAGTATTCAATATTTGATGATAAAGTATTTGAATAAAGTATTTTCATTGATAAAAGCAGTATTGATATTTTAGATGGAAATTGATCAATCCTCAGGTCTTATGAGATGTCAGAATCTTGTGAAGGAAAATTAAAATCTCTTTAAAATCTCTTGTGAAGTATTAACCTAGTTGTAATTGTTGGTACAACTTGGAAATTATAGTCAAGTAAATGGTGTATTGACCAAAAATTTGAGTGAACTCATTTTCTAAAAGCTCATGTATAGTCAGATCATTTAAAAATACAACAGTAGGGCCGGGGAGATAGCTCAGTAGAATAAGCACTTGCCTGGTGAGCACAAAATCTTGAGTTCAATCCCTGGTACCACAAAAACAAACAAAAATACAACAGATTTCATAAGCAGTACTTGTTTGGAGTTTTGGTTTTGTGTAATTCAGAATAAAAGATTTTGTGTAAAAAAAAAATAAAAAAATTTAAAAAAGTAAAATGTTATTTCAAAACACATGCATACACACACACACACACACACACACACACACACACACACATTCTTAGTGCTTCTTATGCTACTGCTACTTATAACTTAAGAGGAAAAAAACTGGTTTGGTATTAAAAAAACAGTTACACCTACATCTCAGTTAGGATGGCCAACAAAGGCAAAAAGGAGTCAAAACTAAGGAGAAGGGGAGGTAGTAAAAACCACCACTATTAGTCTTAGCACAAAGTCTTCTCTCTCAATTCTTGGTGCCTAAACATGTCCAACAGAAGACAGATAAACTAATAAATGGTGCTGGAAAAACTGGCTATCTACATATTAAAGACTAAAACTAGTCTCATGTCTATCACCATGCACTAAAGTTAAAATGAATTTAAGATTTAAACACTAAAACAGAAACAATAAATCTATGGGAAGAGAAAGTAGCTAGAAATCTTGAAGACATAGGTACACAGTTCACAAACAAAACCCAAACTGTATGGAAAATACTTCAAAGAACAATCAGCATCTCATCTTATTAAGAAAAAAAAATTCCACAGCAAAAGAAATCGCTAACAGAGTGAAAAGAAAACCCACAGAGTAGGAAAAAAGTTAAACTAATTGTGCCTCAGACAAAGGACTCATAACTAGAACATAAAAAGAATTGAAAAAAATCAGAACTCCCAAATCCAAAAATCCAATATAAGAATGGGCATCTGAGATAAATACAAACTTCCTGGATGAATAAATACAAACAGAAAATATAGAACAATGTTCAAAATCATTATTTGAGAGACACAAATTAACACAACACTGAGATCCCATCTCACTCCAGAATCAATGGTTATTGTCAAGAAATCAACCAATAACAAGTGCTGGAGGAGCTGAGGGAGAAAAGGAACTCTCCCTTATTGTTAGTAGGTGTACAGACTGCTACAATCACTGTGGAAATGGATGTAGAGATTCCTTAAAAACTAAAATTAGAAATCCCACTGGATCCAGCTATTTCCTTTCTGGGTACTTTTTCAGAATAGTTGAAAACATCATATCATAGTGACATAGGTGTCCATGTTTATAACAACACAATTTGTAATAGCTATATCTTCAAAACAACTCAAATTCCCATCAACCAAGGATGGATACAAAAGATGTGATATTTCTATACAATGGAGTACTACTTAGCTATAAAGAAAGATAAACTCGAGTCTTTTATGGGTAAATGGATGCAACTATAGACCATACTCAGAATTGAAATACATTGGACTCATATGTGTAAACATCATATAGTCTCTCTAGTGTAAGAAACTGAAAGAGTAAATAAGATCCAAAATGTACTATAGATAATTGTGAAATGGGAAAAAACTTCAAAAAGAAAGAGAAACATGGGGTGGGGGAAAGGAGGAAAAAAAAATATATATATATATATACACACACACATAAACACACACGACAGTTAAGATAGTTACATCAGTTATTTCTATTAATTCACTGAAAAGTTTGTGCTTATATTTTGACCCATTTTTCATACCTGTAGCGTATAATCTGAGCTTTGAAGACAACATACACAATGAATTAGCCATTATTACTCTATTATCTTGTTTTAAAATCTTATATTATCATTTTGTCTTTTCTCATAAAAATTCTTGGTGGCTTATAGTCATCTTTCTGTGCAACTGAAGAGACATACTTTTCCTAATTACTGTAATATAGCTAACTGTTTAATTCTGTTGAGCACCACCTATAACTGGCTTATATAATATTTATAATCTTGAAACACCTTAATCTTCCTTTAATCTTTCTTCAGCAAGATGCTCTCTACTGTAAGAATCTGAAAGAATAAATAAAACCTGAAAATACAAGTGATATGGTAAAATGGAAAGAAAATAAACATAAGGAATAAACAATTAAGATGAGGAAAAGGACAAAAGAAGGAAAAAAAGGAAGAGGGAAAAACATGTAAGTAGACACAGGAGAGCAGAGATGATTGTACCACTAATTTCTGGAAGGTAGCAGTTGATTAAAATTTTTACTTTGACTAACTCTATATACTAATATCTATAATATGAGCAACTTCATTGAGGATAGCAATGGGAACCTACTTCAAACATCAGCGGTGACAGACATTCTCACTAGTAGTACAAAGTTTAGTTATCTCTCTATGAGATAACTAAAGTTACTGAGAAGTAACTGGGAAGTAATCAGCAACACTAAGACATCAGAGATTATCTAGTCAGGTCACACTGTTAGAGAAGGACTGAGGAGCAGAAAGGAGAAGTGATGATTTTAAGTACCAGTAAAGCTATAATCCTGATCTGCAGTTTATGTATTATTTAATGTTGGGGATGACTAAGTATAAGATACATCAAAATATCTGGACATATAAGATTTTCCATCATGCTCACTTTTGCAGCACATATACTAAAATTGGAACAATACAGAGCAGATTAGCATGGTCCCTGAACAAGGATGACATGCAAATTCGTGAAGTGTTCCATATTTTTAAAATTAATTAAAAAGAAAAGATTAGCCATCACAATATCTGGACATATGTCCATAAGAAAAAATGTGCAATGAATTCATAAGTCCCAAGTACCTACACTCATCATAGAGAGATAACTAAACTTTGTACAGAAGAATGATTCTTGGGTTAGGCTTCATAGAGCAAATGGCCTATTTTCAGACAGCACTTCCCAATTCTTTCTCCAACACAGGACATGGTCTGAGCCAACAATGATAGCAAGTGCACATCAACATGGTGTGGCTTCTAGATGCAAAGTTAAGTTTTGCCACAAAAATACATCCCATATGTACTTGCTCAGAAATGACACGAAGGAAAAAAAAATAAGAATAGAATGTTTATCTCTGAAATACAACGTTCCCAGTCAATTCAACAACAAAGCAACTACTAGAGAATTTCAAGGCCAGAGCTCTGCAATTAACATGCTATCAAACAAGAGGAAGTATACAGCCACAAGTCTTCACAGTATTAAGAGTAATAATTTTGTAAAACACTGCAAAATAAATTAGAACATGATCAATTATAAAATCTACAACACACAAGCATATATTGATACTCTTACCCAAGCTCATAAAAATGAGAGAACCACTAGCACAAAAAATACCTTTAAAATGTAAAGACTCAAGTAATCAACAAAATCATTCCATTACCAGTATAACTTTGCATAATAGATCACTACTTCGGGGAAATATTGAGATCCTGTACCACCTTCTCCACATTCCAACTAAGTCTGTGATTTCAGGTGGGAATCCGGGAAAGGATAAGATAAATGTTGTTAGCTCAGTGAACACAGTACCTCTTTTAAAAGGTAAGCTCATTAAAAATTTTTTTTTTTGTAAATGAAATCACATTCACCCAATTAGAAAAGAAGTATAATAGCATAATTCTATTAGGAAGTGAGGGGTATGCATGATTAGCTCTTACAGAGGGAAAGAACTGTAAGACAGCAAATAAGGTAGATAAACACTGCCATGTACAAATCTAAAGAGATAGTGATATGCTTTGTAGTAAACATACTATGTGCTAAATATCAACAGCTAAAACTTTTTACAAAACTTTATGTTAATGCAGACATATGACAGCAGTTAATTACCAGGGTCCATGAGCAGATAAGTATGAACATGTAAGTTTTACCTCCAGAATCTCAATTCTTCTCTCTTTCTCTGCCAGCTGCTTTCTAAGCAGCATTATTTCAGCTGATGCTGGATTTAATTTGGGATCTAAAGTTTTTATTACCTGTTTGAGAGAAAAAATTATGATTAAAATATTGAAAACATAAGTATATATAAAAGCTGTAAATACAGTAGAAAATTATCCACAGATTCCTAGGTCATCTACAGTTTTATTGTGATAACAGAAATAACTATTTGAGGAAAAAGATGATATAAAATTTCAGTGAAAAATGGGAAGATCCTTATTCCAAAATCAAATTTCCCATCACCCAGGATCAGTACTGAGGTAGTTATTTTAGCTTTTTCAACACTTAAATTTTGAGCAATGAGTTCTTAAAGATAACGCTTTCCACATTATTCTTAATGGTGAATTTTAAAAATTCAAAAGGAACTTAGTAGAATTGCTGATTTTACAAAACAAGAATAAAAAAGAAATTCATAGCCATCTTTTTTTTACAATCATCTACTCAAATGTCAAGCGTAATTAGAGTATCAGATAAATATAATAGGTACTAATGAATTTATCTGCAAGTATAAGGGTGTTCAATCATATATGTAAATGACTAAAACTTGGGCTAAAGAGGTGTTTGATGAGAATATAATAGAAAGTTGCAACTAAAACTATATGGACAGTATTCAGTTATGAAACTAATTTTTTTTTTAATTTTTTTTTTATTTATTTGAGAGAGAGAGAGAGAGAGAGAGAGAGAGAGAGAGAGAGTGTGGTGTGTGTGTGTGGCCAGCTCAGCCCACCAGGGGGCGGGGCTGGCTGGCATGTGGTGCTGGGGGATCGAACCGCGGTCCCTGATGCTTTGCCAAGCTAGTTCCAAGTAGGTGCTTTAGACCACTGAGCCATCTCTCCAGCCCCCTATGAAACTAATTTTGAAAGGTATGAATTACAAGCAAAAGCTGTATTTCCAATAACAAAGGACATCTCTATGAGGTAATATAAATCTATTGTTAAAGGTTTAAAATTATTTAATGACATAGGAAAATGTCATCCACATTTGAAAAGGCAAAGCAAAAAAAAAAAAAAAAAATAGAAGACACCAAATTTTCCTTGGGATTTACTCATTCACAAATCAATTCTTGAATGTGAAAGTGTGCCAAGCACACACTGCAGGAGACAGGGATCCAGCAGATCACAAGAAACAGCACTCAGCCTAATGGTGTCACAGCAGGTCACACTACAGAACTCAAACTGCCATTTAAATTAAATCAATCTGTTAATGACTGCATGATAAAAGGTATAGCGGTGACATTTTTGTATTTCTTGAATTTTTTTTATAATGGATATATCATTTTAACTATTTTAACATCTGTGTCCAAAAAATGTAGAAAAATAAATGTTTATCAAAGCAATCTACTTCTAAATAACAATAATATTGAACAAAAGGAGTTATTGCCATTTTTCTCTAATTAATGATAGCCCTTTTAGAAAAGCATTTATCAATACTTAAGAAGTATCTTATTAATGCAGTCTTATCTTTTGATTCAATAATTTTATTTTGGCCAGGTGTAGTGGTGCATGCCTGTAATTTCAGCACTGAGGAGGCTGAGGTAGGAGGATTGTTGTAAGTTTTAGACCAACTAGACTAGAAAGTTAGCTCAAGGTCTGCCTGAACTTCATAGCAAGACCCTGTCTTAAAAAAAATATTTCTAGGAAGCAAAATGAATAAAGCAAAATAAGGGGAAAGCTTTCATGTAAGTAGGGTCATATAAATAAGTTCGTTTTAGGAACAAAAGTGTAAAGGAAATAAAAACAACTTCCAACTGCAGGGTAATGATGACTAAAGAGACCATGATACATCCTACACAGTTCAATATTAAGCAGATACCACTTTACTTTTGAAAAATTTGCTGTGTAAGCTTGGGTCTGCCCTGTTCACTGCTACATTCTCAGTTCTTTTCATAGTAAATGTCCAATAATTATTAAACTATATAATTATATAACACAAGGAAATGATTTGCTTTAAAATAAATGATTATATATATTCACAGATATGACAATCAGTCATGAAGAAGACAAGCGTAAAAATGAACTATTCAGAAAATACCCCAAAATATAAGTAGCAGCTAACTTTATATTTTATATGGTAAAGATTTATACTCTTTTAATTGGAAGAAACTTAACTAGGGTAAAAAGTGCCCAGATCTTCATCAAGCCTACTTCCATAATTTTGGTATAGTTCTGTCTCCCTAAAAAGCTTGACATGGTTATATACCAGAGTTCCACCACTGACATGGGAATGAAAGTAATTTCTGCAATTTCCAGGCCTGACCCATCACATATCTTCTCTGCAACTTATGCTGTTTTTTAATCTATTAGTGAGCTACATGGAGCCTCTATGTTGAAGAAGGCAGATCCTCTACAGGCTTGGTTGACATTAAGAATGACTGCACAGAGCTTAACCCCTCTCCTTTCACGACCTAACTCAATGTGATCACAGAGTGCACTATTCTGTGAAGCCTTGAAAACCAGGGTTTATCTTCTGATACACCTAAGTTCATAAATATTACATGAGTTTTAAAACATTAAAAAGGCAGACATAAAACTATATTAAGCCACTTCAAAAATTCCCTTGTTTTTAATCAATAAATAGGAAAGAATATATTAATCTAAGAAGCAAAGATTATATATAGTATTCAGGGAGATAGTATTTTATGAAAACAGCACTTATAGATATTAAGGAAAAATCTAAGGTACAGGATCTCAGAATAAATCCTGAGGGAATTTCACTGACCTTATCAGACCCAAAAGCTACAACTCTTGTTGCATAGGTC